ACAGGGAGGTGAGGGCAGAGTTCGCTTCATTCATACCTTCGTATGCACGTGTGCATCCTTGCACTTAGCGGCACTGTGGGCGTCGCGATGCCGACCAGTGACTCTCAAGGCCGAACTCTCAGAGTCCTGGTCTCTCTAATTGCTCGAATCAAGTCTCTCAATTCAAATTTTGCTTAAGTTCAGGTCATAAGTTTCATATTCTTCGAGTCTTCAAAGTTCAGATTTCTAATTACTCAATTTTCTGACTAGGACAATTGCTACGATAGCGTAATAGTTGTCAGAGAGAAAATTTGATCTCTCTGATAAAACACAGCACAGTTTGACAATCGTCACAACGTATCCTAATTAATTACCTTCCCTGTTCAACTATAACACATACTTATCCTCACTTTAACCCTTTCATGGCCGAATAATCTTTTCTGATTCTATAATTGTCACAGTCACTTAAATAAAACATACACATCCCACGTTCCACTAAAGGGTTAATTATCCCAAAATTAATAATGCACAAGCACCTCTTAAATCCCTTAAAAAACGTTCTCCATTTCCAATTCCACAAAGTGCCCAAAATTTCCATCAAAAGACAGAAAACAACTTCAGCACGTTCAAAGAAAATTTCCAGCACTTGCAAATAATTTCATCGGTCAACTGTACAGGGTGTCCCCGTGAAGAATACGAGGCGGACGTTAACGAGAAGACGGAAGGGCCACGGAGAAAGGCTTTCGAACAAACTTTCCGTTCGACCCTTCTCACGGGACTAAAATCTTTTTCACAAGACTTGGTCGTTCCCCCGACACCGTCCGGTTTTGCACCATTAGCTAACTTGGCTCGCTTCTCGCCGCGGGGCCAACAATGGACCACCTTTTCCCCTACGAGTTCCACCGGTTCTTCCGGCTAATGGCAGCCTAATTCTCCCCGTTGTCGTTCCGTCAACTTCCTCACTCTGTTCACCGTCCTCGACGAGCATGTACGAGAGGAACTGCGATGCTCCGTTACTTCTCTACATTAACTCGATGCTATAATACTTGTTCCTTTCGTAACATTTGCTCGCTCCAATTCAGGTTTACTTGAAGGATCTTAGGTTTCGTGGATTTTAAGTGTAAGAGCTGTTGTTGACGCCTCGTTCTTTTCTGGTCCGCCCTTATCAACTATACGCTTCCTAATTCGTTCTAATACAGTCTCTGGCATTCTTATTTAACGCGTCCCTATATGCGTGTCTTGACGCCCCTCTCTTGCCTCCGGGAAACCCTGGCACAGGTTGGGGGGTCCTTACCTGACCCAGCCCTTAGCGCGTGGGGGTGTCAAGGCGTTGGGACCTCTCGGTCTGCGGGTCATAAACCAGCGCGAGTCCCGACATTCGCTCGACTATACTCTTACATAAGGGTGAATTAAGAGGGTAGAGTGTATCGGTAGATTAATTCTTTGAAGTACGTTGTGCTTGAGGATTGTTTAGGTCTATTTTTTCAATTTCTTTTGGGAAGTGTATAATTGAAATTTTTTAGTTTAGTTTATTTTAATTGGTGGGAAGTTTAATTCTTCTTCTTGAAGGAAATTTAATTATTGGAGAGTTAGTTTTCTATTTAGTTTAAATTTTTGGTCTTCGAAGGGTGACGATGGACTTTTAGAGAATATTTTGAGTAGAATTGGTCAACCATGGACAGACACGTCGAGTATTCCCATTCTAGATCATAAAACTCTTTCAATATTTCTTATAAATTAACACACTACTAGTTACCCTTCAATTCATCATAAATCTCTTTTATTAGAAATACATTTGCAAGAATAATTCAAAAATTATTCGATCTTTCAAAATTGGAAAAATTTCAATACTTTTCCCTTCTCGTAAAATCACACTTACTTAAATTAACACACTACTAATTACCCTTTAATTCCATAAAAATCTCTTTCACTAAAACTACATTTACAAGAATAATTAAAGAACTGTTCAACCTTTCAAACTTACAAAACTCACAAAAACCACTATTTACAAGTGGCCCTATTCGCAACCTAAAAGAATCATTGGACGTTATAACTCCGTATCACTATCAATTCTCCCTTCAGGCCGGTATCAGATCTCACGTTTCACGAGGTGTTCGCTAATCTCGCTCCCATAAACAGCCCAGTTTCCCACGTCGCGTGATAAACATTCATTTCCCTCTTCTGGCTCGCATCTTCCACCTTTAAATCCTATTATCCTCATCGTCCACGTTGCCCCTGTCTTCAAATTGGCCGCACGAAAATTACTTTATCACGTTGAACAACGGGTCACACACACACTTTCCACCCTCCGTATTTCCTATTTTTCTATCTTTCTCTCCCTTCTTTTTTTTTTACACATTTTCCGGTTCGGGTTTCCACGGACTTTTCTCTCTCTTTTATTTTATTTTTGGATCGCGTTTCGACGGATCGGATCAAAGATAGACATTTTTCGTTCTCGAATACGCGGTAAAAAATCGTTACGATTCACAGTCGCTATGGTTGTACAGAGATCGCGTTATCCCAGCGTGTACAGCTCCATTACAGCTTGTTTCACGGTGATGCCGTGTAATCCTATTCGGCTGGGTGAAATCGGTTTTGAAAGCGAGGATCTCACAGTTGAAATTCGAAAATTTCTCGTCAAATCAGTTATCCCAGAGATCGAATTGCAGGTTTCACGGTAGAGAAAACTGACAGGTGGTTAGGTTATTTCAATGATTTTTTTTTTTCTGTTTTTAATCCTTCGAGTGTTTTGTTTGGTTTTTCTCTCTCGCTGGGTGGAACGAGTAGTTTTGTACGAAGAGAAATTGTACATAATGGTGTGGATGGTAAAATAAATTGGATATTTGTTGC